TTTTTGAAATAAATAATATTATCCCTATTACAGAAATCATTTCTTCTGGAGACAGAAATTGTCTCGGAAGGTTTCAAGAAAATAGTCACTTTTTATTTTTCTTTAAAATTTTATGTGAGTTCTCATTGGCTGTTTACCTATAACGCACGGCCTATAACGCGAAAACTATTACCGTTAAAACTGGCCCTCAGTTACTCTCAGGCTCTCACGGTCTAAAATAAATACAACCTCACGGCTATAACAAGTTAACAACCTCGCAAATGACATTTTGACATTTAAATAGGCCCGTTATCAGACCCCAAAAAGGAACATTTTGCTAACTAAAGAGTATACAGCAAATTAGGCTGGCACTGTAAATAGTGTCGTTTGACTCGTTTGACGCTACTTATTTATGTATTTACTCATAACTCTCTCAGACTAAAATGACCTGTATTAACTTTTGAAGAAAAAATATACGTTTGTAATACACATATACGTATTTAACGCAGCTAATATTTTGCCGACATCACTTTTAGCCCGCTGATTTGAGTGTATTTATATATTTTTATATATAAATAGAAGGTGTACATATTGAAGGTGTATATGCCTTAATATGTGCTATATATAATATATAGTGTTCGTTGTATGTCATTCGCAACCAACGCGCTATCTATAGCTCACAGCTCACCGCTTGTTCTAGTTTCCAACCTGTATACAACTGAGTAGTCACTGGGTATATCTGAGTTTAGGGGGATTGCCTGAGTTAATAATAGTAGCACACTTATATAGACCGCTTATTGTCTACGTATATTGCATATATCAAGTATGTATAACATATATATGCTGTAAATCTATCTGATTTTTTTCCTATGCAAACCTCTGTGCCCAGATATCGTCACCCTTCATTGACAAAGTTAGACTGACTACCGCGTGTACTGTACTGTACTGTACTGTACTGTACGCATTTATAAATAAAATGTTACGATCTGCGCTGTCTACAGGTGGACCGACTTTCGTGTGTGCAGGAAAAGTGCTTCACTCGCAGCCAGCTAATGCGCGTACGTGTGCGCAAGTACAGAAACACGTAAACGTGCAAATACGTACACATCCGCATAGCACACGGTCACAAACAAGCAGTTTACGCGCACCATCCAATAGTTTACGTACACAGACGACACAGGCAGCCGCTTGCAATGAGACATACTGCTTTCGCATACGTACTCCTACTACACTATATAGCAAGCGTATACCTCTCATTGAAGGTGTGTGTACATCACAACAAAAGCGCCACTTTCGCACAAGCAACTACCTCTTCAGAAGGAAAGTAAGGCACCCCACTATACGTATAAATAGCTCAGGCAAAGCCAGTAATAAATGGACACCCCACGCGGCGAAGGATAATGACGACAACGGTAGTGTACGACATACCATGAACCCAACCGCATACGCTCTGCATACCATGGGTGTCGAGCTTAATGGCAGCTGTCCCAATTGCGAGGATGTGGGCTCGCTTACTAAAGGTGTGTGTTTGGGTTCTTTGTTTGTACACTCGAGAGACGTGTTAGTGCTTCTCTGCTATTACAGATATCATAGATGTCGTCCTTTTTGTCTTAGTTCAGCAACAAATCACTTCGGACCAAATGATGTGTGCAACCTGGATCTGGTCTGAGCTATTTTTGTTGACCTTCGCTTTGCCTATTAATAATAATATATATAATAATATATATATATATATATATATATATATATATTATATATATT